CATGTTAAGTAAATTTCCAACAGACATCACTTATAACAATATCATACCCATTTTTGTTTTTCCGGAGTAAATCTAATGCACTCTCTGCATCAGATTTTTGGGTTACTGCAAATCCGCCATTAGATTTATATCAGTTAAGTGATGAACGAAGATGGGTATGTTTGGTTCACAACATTGTACAATACGACAATCAAAAAATTTAACTAGTTTTTTGCTTAATCCTACCTTGTAGAGTCGAATGAAGCGAACTAAACATGCCTCTATGGTGTTTATGCATCCAAAATCCATCTTTTTTCTTGATTTCTACAATTTTTGTTGAAAATCCTTGAGCCCGTAATTTATAATGTTACACACTGTTCACCGTAAACTTTCTTTCCCCTAATTTGTTCATTTGCAAATTGATAAATGAATCCTAAAATCAAGAAAATCACATATAGAATTCAACTACAAAATAATCTGTAACCCCAAAAATAATCACTTATCTGTGAGCAAAAACTCATGCAAGTCTGTGAAACCTTATATACCTTCATAGCCACACTTTTTAAGTATGCTATTCACGATCTTGAGACAAGTGTTGTCATCATCCACAAGAAGTACTCTGAGACCCGTCGGAAACTGGCCGGAAGTTCTATCTTCGGACTTCCAAGAAGCATTTGATCGTGAAACTAACATAGGTTTCACTGATTGAGAATACATTCAAAACGTAAAAAACTTGTATATATGCATTCAAATAGCAAAACCCATATGAAAAAATAATCAAGAATCATACATTTTGAAAATCCAATGCCTTGATTAATCTTTTTTTTTTTTTGGGTTCTAAGAAATTTTGCTTCTGTAGGATTCTTGGAGTTTTTTAAGATATTAGTGGGTACTCGTTTGAGTTTGGATGTTGCTCTAACTATGCATTAACTTAACAAACTCTTATCTTATGCATATATTTACACACATAAATTGTACGTAAATCTAGCTTATCTTGTTGATGTAAAAATATGAAGTAAATTGAAAATTTCACCTAGGGTAATTTTTTAGTTAATGTTTACAACCGACTCCACCTCTTGGGTTGATTTTTCTTTGTTATATAAAGTAAATATAAATTTGAATTTACCAAAATTAAATGAATATAAATTCGGACTATAAATTAGGAAAATCTTTGCCAAATATACATATTTTGTTGATAAATAAGTGAGTCTTAAGATTATCTTACCATAAAACAAAAATATTCTACCTTTTCAATGTTCCAGTATAATTAAATTGACCTACTTTTGAAGATTTTCTTACCATAATACAGTTTATTAAAACTAATTTTCTGATGCGATTTAAAATTACTAACTTTATTAACAACTTCGGTTTGGCCATCGCACTAGGGATGGTAAGCACTACTGAATTAAGCCATGTTACAAAATCGCCATAAACTCTGAAAAAATGGTTTAAGGAAGTGAGTTTCGCGGTCCGAGACAATTAAGTCACTTGAACTTTAGTTCTCTTACACGGAACGAAGTGCACCATTCTGGAGAATTTATCCTCCGCGACAAATATAGAATCAAAGCACCGTTGATGTCAATCCATGGTTGACATGCAGAGGAAGAGGCAAGTAAACGCCAGCATTAGACGCCTGTCATTTGGCCGTCTGGCAGACTCGACGCCTAGCCACATTGAAGAATAGACCCAAATAAGCCCGTGCAGTGAGACTGTGAGGGCGCGCGTTATATTTTCCGAGGCAGACTAAAGTAATACTATCACCTTGTGAACAGTACTTTTTCTCCTGCAAGCATAGTAATTAAATTAGCCATGCTGATAAACAGAGACTCTTTTGTTTGTACTGCTATTATTGGCAATGTTCATGAAGCTAATCTTTGGCATTGTCGTTAAGGACATATTTGTTATTCCAGACTCAAGCTCATTGATGATCATATTGTAAAAGACAATGTTATCCATAGTAATTGTGGGCTTATTGGGCCTATTTTGATGGTTCTCCTTAATACCTTGTTGGGCCGGGTTTATTACCCATTCTTATTGTTGCTTAAGTGGGAATCACTTATTGGTAGCATTAAGGACACTTGGATCATGTGTTTGTTGAGGATTACTTTTGGCCCTTAGATTTAATCAATGGTTGAGATTTATTCTAGACTAGATATTTTACTTGGGCTTGGCATTTGTGAGACTCTCTCGCTCGACTTCTCTTCTGTGGCATGATTTTACTCTCCTTCCTTCTTGGTGACTGCCCCGTTTCTCTCCATAGACTCCATTCTTCTTCTTCCTTGTTAGTGCCCTAAAATTGACCTTGGTTAGCCCATTGGTGGAGATATACCTGTGTATTCTTAGGCCTGAAATAGAGGCTAAGTGTTGGTTCATTCTCAAGGGCTTAGGTCAGATTTTAGGGGCTGATTTTGGCTGCTATGATAGATCGTTTGGATCGATGACCCTAGTCAAAATGTTGGAGACCTTAGTTGGTTCTTACCTCTCTCTAGACGGCGATTGCATGACATGGGAGGCTGTTCTTGAGCCTAAGCTATTCGACCAGCAAGAAGGGAAGAAGAACACTAGAGGTCTTGGACGGTAATAAGGGAAGTTCTTGTCCAGCTTTAAGTTTCTGTTTTTCGGTCCTTTTATGTTCTGTTTTCGGTTTCAATGGTAAATATATATATACTTGTTAATTCATGTATATTAAGTAACAGTTCCTGCAGTTCATGTACAATCTGTAAATGCTAGACTCTGAGATTTCTGTTTATATTCATTGTCATGATCTCTTTATGTTGTAATTGGAAATTACATTCTGCTGGGATTGAATATCATTGTTTATTGGAGCATGTTATGAACTTCTGACATTGGTT